CTTTTTAAAATTTAGTTATGCTAAAACAATTATAGGTTGCTTATTGCTGCGTGGCATAACACAGTGCTGCCAATAGTCTTGTGTCTGAGACTTTAAAATGATTAAATAGTATCAAGGGTTAAGAGTTGTATAAGAAAACTGATCTCTAGTTAAATCAGTAATTATCAGTATCCCTGCTCTTCTCAAGTATATTTATTACTTGGCAAAGGGTCTTATTCTAGAACTCCCATTGACATCACTGGTAATACAAGGGCCCTTCTATGCAAGGACCAGAATGGAATAGGTCCTATAAGGTGTCTTGTCCCTTAAAGTTATGAATATATAGCAGGAGTTACCTACTCAGCCTTTACTCTCCTGCATTTTAATGGCTGCCCAGCTACTGTGAGTTCTGTGCCAAAAATACACCATTCCTATATGGTGCAGCAAAATGTCCTCTGTACAGTAAGAAACCAAGTGTAATGTCTGTGAACACCATCTGACATAAGTTAGTTGAATAAAATGCTTTTCCTAAGAGATCAATTTTGGCTGGAGTTCTATACTAAGTTGCTAACTCATCTAACTGCTGGAAACTCTCAGATATTACTTAAAATCTCCCAAATCACCAGTGCTGACTAAAGGTAAAATTTCTTAAAGGAACAGTCAGATCAACAACAAAATTACATGACTAGCAGACAGATACCCAATACTATCTTATTAAGCAAGTACAGGCGACCCTCACCATTCGCAGGAGATACGTTCCAGAGATCCCTGCAAATGCAAAATACTGGTTCCCCTTCAAGCCCCACAGCTGCCCCCTGCTTCCCCGCAGTGCCTGGAGACCAAACCCTTCCCCTCAAGTGTCGCCACAGCTGCCTCCGGCAGCGGCGAAGCAGAAGATGCCACCGCCGCTGCTGCCTCCCTCCCCAACCCTGGGGCTCCCCAGCAGCACCTGGGGACTGACCCCTTCCCCCCAAGCACTGTGGCGGCTGTCTCCAGGGGAGAAGATGCTGACACAGCTGCTGCCACCTCTCTCCACATCCCAAGCGCTTGCTCTCTGCCCACCTCCCAGCTCTGCTCTCCCCTGCGAATATTTGAATCTGTGAACCCGGAGTTCGCGAATAGTGAGGGTTTCCTATAGTTTTAAAATTGCAACATATTGCACAGAGATGTCTTTCAAACCATTCCACTCTTTCTAAACTTCCTAAACAAAAGCATAACAGTAAGATCCCATTATATCATTCCAGGAAGTGCTAACTTGAGAATACAGCTATATCACTACAGCACTGACAATGTGGCTGGCTAGTTTTGAGATATAACTCTCTAAAACACATTCTTCAGAAGGCACAATTACATGACAAGACATCAGGCCAGCTCATAATTGGGTAATGAATAAAGGACGCATTCACACCTGCCCAGCTCCGTTAAATTCAGCTATGCTACTCGTAGTATGGAGCATAAAATATTACAATATGTGACATTATTTATTTACCATGGTTTATGTATCACCTTATGATCATTTAATCATATCTTGATTAAAAGTTCTAACTAGAAGTGACTAAATGCTGAATATTTGACAAAGACTGCTCCCTTTTGCAATCCACAGACTGCTGAGAAACTCTACCAATTTAAGTCATTATTTCAGTACTGTTTAGTTCCGTATCTTGGAACTTGGGTTTACTAAAAACACAAGACAAGATGTGATAGAAATTATTGCATAATTTGCTAGATAGTGTCATAACTTCCATTCGGCTCCTTTGCCACTTACAGTGAATTGAAGGAAAGCATCATGTATTGAATCCTCAATTGGAGATGTACCAGCCAATATTTGCAATGATGAAATCAAGCATCTTTTTTAAATTTGTGGTTAAAAATACCATCAGTCTGGTAATCAAGCTAAAAACTAATAAAAGCAAATCGGTAAACTAGTCATTTACCTATCAAGATGAGATTTATAATGGCTAGTTGTTAAGAAAATATTTTAATATCTTAATATATTTTAAACTTGGAAAGATAGTTTATGGTATTTCCAAATACTGTGGATATGTTAAGGAATAATTCAGAACCAGGTGTGAAGTTGTTATTGAGCATACCTCAGTCATCTTTCTACAGTCACTAGAGAAATAAAGGTTTCCAATATATCATAACTTATTCAGTGATATTGTTTACATAGACTAATCCTTCCTACTTTTAAAATCAAGCCATTTTTAATGTAGAAAGTGATAGTTTTAAATGTAGAAGCATAAAATAGTTGCTTTTCAACATACATATATTGCTTTATTCTTAAAGAATATGCTGCAATTTTAGAGATTGCTTTTTACTGTACTGGCAGGGGCCTCTATTAGCATCAGTACACAAAGAAGAGAACATGACCAAGCCCTCAGTCTTGCAGTCTTCATTCCTTTGGGCTCCATGGATGCTGGAGACCAGAACACTTAAACTCTCAGTTCATGGGGTTAAACAAGACACATAACATGCAAAGTCTTGTCAATCAGATGCTTCCTATTGTAGAGGTTATAGATTCTGTCTACTCTATAAATGACATATACACATATATATCTTAGAGATGGGTATTAAAATACAAGGCCACATGACTCCCTATAGGTATTCAAACAAAAATCTATGCAAGCTGTAATATGTTGGTTTGATATCACCCCATGAAATTTCACTTCTAATTTCTTAGTTTCTTAGTCAAAGTCCAGTACTAGCTTGATTCTACTGAAGTCAAGGGAGTTACACTTGTGATTAAATTGGCCTGTCTTCTAGAACTAACACTATTTGTGACCAGTTAGCATCAGTCAAATGTTATTAGTGGAATGAAACTATTTCCAGTGCCATAAATGCTAAACTAAAATAATACTCAGTTGTGTGCAAAGTGAAACCTTTACCAGATTTTCAGAGTTAGGGCTATTTGACAAAAACTGCTTTTGGAATTTACAAACGGCTGAGAAACTCTGCAATTTAAATCATTATTTCAGTAGTGTTAGTTCCAGATCTTGGAGAAACTTTCCACATAGACAAAATATCCTCAGGTCTGGAAAGGTAACTGGTGCCTGGAAGCTTTTCTAAAATCTCTCCCACCTATGCAGAAGCTCCAACTAGAAGATACCACCTCAAAAAATCCTTGTCTCTCGCATATCATCTGCAGCACCCTTCCAGCATGATCATGTCACTACTTTGTCATTTAGCAGAAACTATCTGAGACATGGAATACTGCATAGAAAGCATTACAGGAATTCAGCTTTTAAAATGTTACAGGAATTCTGGGTGACGAGCATAATCCTGCAACATTAGGAAATGCTCAGCACTCTACATGCTTGGGCCTGAAAACAAGCATGAGGTAATGTTTTTAAATAGGGGACAAAATTACAGGGTCAAATTCTTCAGTTATAGTCATAAAATCCCACAGAAGTCAGTAAAGTTTCATGGATTTATAACTAATGCATTAAGCACTCAGAGCTAGGATATGGATAAATAAGGCCACAGCCTAAGATATATTAGAGCAAGGGTAGAGGGTATTAAACACATGGCCTAGCAGACTGGATCTGGCCCACAGAGCCATGTCGTCTAGCCTAGAAGGCTCCTAGAGGGGCTGGGAATTTGGGGGCAGGAGAAGCAGGGCAGGGCCTGCCAATGAAATCTGGGGTATGGCATCCTATTGGGGATGCACGTTGGTGACAGGAGGCAAGCAATAGATGCATTAGCCTGTGGCTCCCTCTTGCTACTTATCCTGCAGCTGCCATTACCTGCCCTGCCACTGTAGGTGGGTCCGGATCAGGTCTGACTGGAGCCCGGAAGTCCAGATCTGGCCCAGGTGCTCAAACCAGTTTGACATTTTTGTGTTAGAGTAATTGTCATCGTCGTTATTTGCAACTTTGTCAATGCAAGTCTACCCTAACTTTACAGCTTTGGTTTTGGGAAGATTCTGCAAATTTGGTCAGATTCTTGGATAACAGAATCACTGTAATGGGTGTAGCTGAAGAAAGGGAATAGTCTTAGCACTTTTTTATGCTTTAGTGATCTCCTGCTGCCAAAATGGCTTCTTGGGCTGTTACAGTGGCTCAAAGGGAACTGGCCTAATGTAGTTTGGTCCAGCATAAAAGGAATGTAAAGGTGGAATAGCTGAAACCCATTTGTATTCTCTTCCTCAACTGTACTCTTGAGCAATGGAATCTGGGCCCTGATGTCTTGCAAACTAAATATCCACTATATTTACAGAAAACCTTATATCATCTTTGCCTTTTTAATAATTTAGAACTGGTAGAACTTCAGGTGGGAGAGAGAATTCTATTGGAGCTACAAATGCTTACAGCAGCTTTGTGTTTGTCCTGGTGCTGTTAAAACTCCCTGAGGATGTTGGTTACTGATCTCTAGTGCAGGATAGTAGAAAAACATCTTCAGTTAGCCACATCCAGAGGAAAAGGGACATTTACTGAAGAGGAAATAATTGCAACTATGCTGGAAAGGAAGAGATACAATTACATAGGAATCTGAAAAAGTGGTATGTGAACTTTAGCTATAGGAAAGATGCTAGCTAAAAACTAAGATATGCTCTGAGTTTTCACCCACTGTACATACCTGATACACTTGTTCTGATGCGTCATTAGAAAGTTTAGAAAGCCTATAACAACAAGCTTTTATTCTCTTGATTTCTCCATACATTATTAAAAAAAAATCAAATTCTTCCAATGGTACAAACATAAAGCCCCATCCTGCACTTGGATCAATATGGATGAACCTTATATCTGTGTGCATTACTGTATAAACCAGAAGAGCTCCACATGAGTGCATGAGTCAGTCCACCTAGGAACATTTATAGGATCAGGGTGTGATGATGGATTTTAATAATGAAGTTCTGATTAGATGTATAAACCACTCACGCTTTGCTGTTGTGGTTTATAATACTAAGAGAAACATCTAACCAAAACACTGCTGTGGACAATACAGGGCTTGTGTTTATTTTGTGTGTGCATAATATACACACAAATCAAAAGTATCACCTGCAAATAATCATATTTGGAATGTGAAAGACAGAAAATGTAAACATTTTATTTGGCAGTTGTTTTCAAACAGGTGAATAAATAAATGGAAAATTACATCTTAGTATTTTTTTTCCATAGCAACAGATGCAGTTGCACACATATTTACATACTGTGGATGCAAAGAACAGTTAACCATTTAATTTATTTTTGTTAAAAAATGCAACTTCCAACACCACTAGACTTGACAATTAAAGATGAAGATACTAGTAATGCTTTGTTCTAGCAATCTCAACTTTTAAAGGCATTCATCTGGAAGCAGGATAAAGAGAATTGTCATGCATTTAGTTCATTTTGTCCACTTATGGTAGAAAGTCTAATGTAATCTCAGAATTATGGATGTCATGCGCTTAAGTCAACTATGACATGTTTATAAATCAGTGTAGTTCCCTTAAAACTTGAAGCAAAGAGAAAATCTCGCTTATCAATGGAAACATGTATGAAAGATCTTGGTGCCTGTATGTTTAATTCTTGAAACTTCACAAATTTTGCTTTTTCAGCATCCCAATAATAGACTTGAGTAAAAGAATAATCACTTCCAAGAATGGCATATTGATAATTGTTTATTTGAAGAGGCTGGAATACCATTGATCCTCGGGATGGCATTCTTTGTAAATCCAGAAATGTGGAACCTCCCCACTTCATTACTTTAGAATCACCAATAAATCTTGTTAAACAAATGTATACATCCTCTTTCACCGTGAAGTGTTTCACTGCATACACATCTTCCATGTCTTGGATATCAAAACGTTTAACAAATTCATTTGTTCCTTTGTTCCATTGATATATGACAGGTCGTTGGGAGCTACTAGATAGAATTAAATGAGGTTTGCCAGCTATTTCAACATACTCCACATCAGTATCTCTGTACCATGCATGCAGAGACTGATGAGAGTAGAATCCATTTCCATTCCATTTGTAAACTGTGGTAAACCCAGCTTTTGAACTGTCTGCTATAACAAAAAACCAGTCTTCTGAAATCCTGAACGTTTCTATGTCGTTGGGTTTTCGGATTTTAAGAATTTCAATATCTTGAATTTTTATAAACTTATTAGCAAAAATATCTCTCTTATAGATATGGGAGCCTCCAAAAAGCTGGGCAACAATGACATATAGCTGGCTCTCAATAACTATGGGCTTACACACCACAGTTGAAGTACCTACAAAAAGAAAAGTAAAGTAAAGACAACATTAGGACCGGCCTTTAGATCAGGTAGCATAATGTGATTTGACATGCATTATTCATACCTGTAATGTTGTCATAATTCCTGAACGTCCCCTCTACATGGTCCCATTCAAGAAAGATGCATTTTCCAGTAAAAGGTTGGGCAACAACCACATGCTCATCATTCATATATGAGAAAGTATCTACTGACAGAGACTGATATGGGAGGGACTGATAAACAGCAAATTCTGCAAAAGTGCACACAACACGTGGTAACCAAAGGTAGCATTTATTTTCTTATGCGTTTCCATTGTATTAAAAAGAGCTATTTAACCAATACCTTTTCATTAAAAATACATTTAAACAGTAGCTGATTTTCTTGTTAGGTGTGAGAAATTATTAAAGTCTTATTTTATTCTGTCAAAATTAAAAATGTTACCTATAACAGTGATAGGTCTGTTGCAGTCCTTATTTAGGCTATAAATAGAAAGGGGCTCTGTATATGCAGTCTTTATATAGGCAATGAATAGAAAGGGGCTCTAAATTTTGAGACTATATCTTTGGTTGTAAGGAAACAAAATTAAATAAATTTGGAACACATTACCTGTAATAATACAATCAAATTCCTTTGGAGAGAGGCTATTGATTTTACGCTTCTTATATTCTGGTGGACTTTCGCAGTAAATATCTTCTACTGTTGCATTAGTGCTGCCCAGCCATTCCACTAACCATTTTAGTTTGCAGTCACAATTAAATGCATTTCCTCTAAGATCCCTATAACAAATAAACCACTCATTGAAAAGCATGAATTAGCTGCTGTTTTTTCCACGACATGACACGCTACAATAAACAGGATTTCTATGAAATGTCAACCTTTGTGCTGCTGCTTCCCTAAATTGATTTCTCCTGAACTTACTTAAAAATATATATTAAAATTATTTGCATTAATTTAAATAGATTCAGTATAAATAGATTACCATTCATTACTGATAATCAGTGGGAAGGTTTATCTCCTCTACCAATTCTCCTCTGCTGATATTCCCTAATTTACAGATACCCAAATCCTTGCCAAACTGTTTGGCCCTTTTTTGGTTCATTTCTCATAGTTTAGCATTTCCCAGGAAGACATTACAGATGACAAAATGGCAAATATTGTAACACAACAGACACTGAACCACAACATGGATTTTCCCTGTTTACCCATGATCAGGGTAGGAAATAAGAGTGATAAAATTGGTTTATTTTCTCCTTTCTCATTTTGATGCAATCTATTAGGGCCACAGTAGATACAAGTAGAACTCTCTTCCGATCAAACTTACTGAAATTTGCTTTTGGGCCTAATTATGCAAAATTCAAATTACCCCTGAAGAGCAGTTGAGACCCTCACCTACCATTCTTGTTAATGGAATTTATAAGGTTTGGCACCCATCTGGAGGTGTCAAGTATCTTCCTGTACTAAGCACCCCTGTGAAGAGCACGGGGCATATGTGGGACTGTAGTGGGTGATTAAAAGTGCTGTAGAGCATTCTCTTAATTTTTGTAGGAGAGAGCTAGCAGTGTAGACAAAGAATTATTTTGTAGTATTGAAGCACAGCTGCACACACTAGTGGTGCAAAATTTCCATGGTGTCTGCAAGCCAGGCACTAGCAGAAGTGGCCTTGACTTGCTGCTGGGCTATGCCCAGTGTGACTGTGGCATTTCAATGGATGTGCAGTCAGCTCTAACATTTACTATAGCAGGAAACACTGGGTATGTCCTAAAACTAACTCCTGAGCAGCTGTAGTGGAGGAAGTGAGAAAAGCCTTTTTTTGTAGCTGCTTTCCCCATGTTGGGGCAGCCAGAATGTTGTATGTTGCTAACAGGAGCTGTTCCAGTAGAATGAATGAATATATATTTCAAAATATACTTTGTACTTTTACAAACATGAAATATTCTTTGTTTTACCTATTTAAAATTTAACAACTTCATTTTTTTTTAGTTGCGATTAGAGTTAGCATCTCATGTACAGTACTCAGTAAGAGGTTTAAAATGATAATTACTTTCAATAGAGACTCATCTGAGAGTATTTTGGAAATGAAAATAAGAACATTTTAGGTTAAGCAGCCTTATCCCTACCTTCATGCCACTCCCCTTCTATATTTAAAAATACATTTTAAGATTTAAGGTAAGTATTTTTATTATTTCAGGGAACCATACACAAGTATCACAGTGACTATGAACATGTTGAAATCTTAATATTTAATATTATAATTTAATCTTGATTCTAAATATTTCACTCTTTTTGATATCTTGGAAAAACATTACACAATCAAAACAAAGTATTAACAACACTCAGCATAAATTGGATCCACCCTTCCTTCTGCTACCTCTGCCCCACCAAAATCTTAGGTTCCACCACTATCTATACTGGCCTACTGTCTACTTGGTAACACAGGGAGCAAAGAAATTGCTGATTTCTTACACAATTGTTAAAGAATCCAGGCCTTTAAAGATGTCTTTTGGAAGTGTTTGGAGATTATTGTTTGCAAGGCTCCTGTAAGAGAAGATATTTTATGTCAGTCATCAGATGGTATTTTTCTGTAAAATGTAATAGTGTTTTTTTCTGGTAAAGAACAATAATGCACTTTAGTACTTAGTTCTACAGGATTCCTTTATAGGTTCTCTCATTTACTTTGTGACTCCTTCTGATAAAATATATTCACACTTTTTCTCTTTTACTTTGGGGTGCAATTCACTTAATTTATTCACTTTCTGAATAAAAACTCTGTTTTAGTTATGATGTGTAAAAAAAGGAAAAAAAACTGACTTGTCCTTCAGATCCTAGTTAGTTGTTGTTTTTTTAATTCCCATCTGTTTTTTCTTCTTGTAGCTTGAGCATATCCAACAAGAAGATATTTAGTCACAATGGTTCTGTTCAAAATGCACTTAAGCATGTGCCTAAATTAAAACATGGGACTAAATTTACTGTAATCAATAGGACTACCTCCAGTCTTAAAGTTAAGCATCTACTGAGGTGCTTTGCTTGCTTCTACTAAACATAGAACCTCATTATGCCATTTTTGCTTTTTACTTCTTAAAGAACTGCACCTTAATACTGCTTTTGTGTATGCATACTATACATATTTGGCCCACTGCAACCAATGTATAAACATAAACATAAGGTTTTGCACAGGTTAAAATTTATGCAGACAAGTATTTTTATAGAAGCTAAAGCAACTGCTTGGATGGATGAATATAAATAGATTTATGATCATTTGCAGTAGGGCTCTCCAACTTCAAAGCACCTTGGGGCCACAAAGCTTGTGGAAGTTGCATAAGTGGGAGCCATGGCCCCTTGGGCTGCACCCTGTCAGTTGTGAGGGGTATGTCTCCCCACCCTGCCCACTGGTGCAGAAGCAGGAAGTGAAACCTGATGGAAGGAGGGAAAGGCCTAGAGCAGAGGTTGTCAACTGGGGATACTCTGAAAGGTCCCAGGGAGCACACATGGGTGGGCGTGGACAGAGCACCACCACCTCACAGAAACAGGGCTAGTGAAGGGGGGCAGCAGCGCCACTCTACAGGCCAAACAGGCACTGCCCGGACAGATGGACATGGGAGGAGAAGCTTCCACATGGCAGCTGCCACCGCCATTCACCACCCTGCGCTGATGCTCAGTGCGCAGCCACTGCCACCCTGCCCTGTCACTGGCTGTTGCTATCCCCCCCCACTCCGCAACCAGCTGCTGCTCCCCCTTCGACTGGCCACTGGGGGTACACTGCTCAAAAAAGGTTGAAAACCCCTGGCCCAGAGAGTCCAGCTGTGCCAGCAGCCAAACCAAAAGGGGCAATCACGTAGGAGCCTAGGGGCTGCACATTAACCCTCTGCATGCTGTATGTGGGCCACCAGTTGGACAGCCCTGATTTGCAGTATCAGAGCCATATGTGAGCTTGATTACATCAAGCAAATAGACACGGTGAACACAGAGATACGAGTTCTCACTGCAGTGGGAATTAAATGGACAAAAATGAATCTAAAGAAGGATCTAAATCCAGTTCTTGGATGAAAGCTTGGCATTTTATACCTTCCATTGCTGGAAAACACCTAATAACATTTCATTTTCTTACCTCTACCTGGTACTCTTAGTGATACCCATTCAGAAAACTTTAACTTAGCTCATGAGGGGGTAAATGTTGAATCAAATTTGTAACTATGATAGAAGAGAGATATTTTAAAACTCTGAAAGATGCTCTGCTTTTATGATAACCTTCAAAGATGCATTCAGAATTACATTTTGTGCCCTGAAATAATTTCCTATGCTAAAATATTCTGCAATTTAGGATTGTGGTATTAAACAAATCAAAATACAATCATACGTATATGAATTTAGTTTCAACTCTAAATCAAAAATGAATTATTTTGATGAATATCCCTTCCAGACCTACTTTTCTATGAATTTTATGAAATGCCTCTATGTTTTAATGAGGACACAATTAAATTATTGCATAAATAAAAATGTGGTTATTTGGCTAATTTTATTGCAATGTAAAAATACAGTAGTGAAAAGGAGGTGGGCAGATTATATAGAAGAACAAAGGTCATATTCTGCCATCACTCTATGCAACTCATTAGTACACGTAATTACTGTTAATCTCTTTTATACGTTTACACAACAATAATATTCTGCTCTTCTTCAAGTTTAACTGCCTCAGAGAGTCTAGTTGTTCTTCTTAGTGGGTGCATCTACACCTGCAGTTACCATCGCTGAATAAACTCTGGCGCAGTTCATGCTGCTCCCAGGTGAAGTGTTTAAACATGTGCCCAGAACTGCCTAATAGCATTGCACGTGTAGATAGTGACACTTTACTATGGAGCTAATTAGTCAAGTTTGCAGTAATGCACACATGCAGATGCCCCCAATATGCAGACATGGAAATATTATAGGTAAAGGATGGATGACCAACTGAGTGTGTCACATTCAGTAGTTTATGGACCTGTAATTATTCTGCCTTTGTCTTCAAAGTTAGCTCTGCAAGTGGGGAAACACCCCCAAAACATACAGTGTAGAATGTATAAATCCATATTCTAAAGTGTTCTTGCAACTGCAGGCAGACAACAATGGCTGCTTATTGTCCCATATTCTACATACAGTTACTTGTTCAAAACTATTGAGTGGGCCCCAGAAACCAGCACCAGTCAAACATGATGCTATTTTTGATTGTATGATGTGCATAGATACATAGTATGCTCTGTTTTTCTGTTTTGAAAAAAGCAGCTTGTACATTGACAACTACAGCCACAAAATGAATGAAGTAATAATATAAATTGAATGGGGCTATTTATCTGCATATTTTTTTTATAGAATATCGGTATTTTAAACTATGCTATAGTTAGCTTATAAATGTAATACAGATTTTTATAGTATATGTGCATATACTCTATGTTGCTCCTGCTCTCTCTTTCTTTAATTTTGTGAATATTATGTGAATAACTTCATAAATGAATAGTCACTGTGAACTCCGTTTAAACCAACTGGGGATATGGTCTACATCATGCAAGGAGAAAAGGGCAAAGTATCCTACAGTGTATAACTTGATTAACTGGAATTACATTTACAATATATATAGGTGAAATTGTACTTTCCCTTATGTCTGACCATATCTGAACCAAAAAACCAAGTGACCCTGTTTCAGACCCCTTTTAGAATCTATTATGTTGAGGCTAAAAGGTCAAAATACACTCCCCTTGCCTATAAGAAATATTCCAAGATATATGCCTGTAAGTTAATATGATGAAGTAGGGCATTAATGCATGTGTCAGGCACAGCAATATATTTTATTCAATTAAAATTAATTAGTCTTTATAGATATGAAAGTCTACATAACAAACCCTTGTTTCCATACATTATTTTATAGAAGAAAAAGATTTCCCCTGTAATTGTATATTTTAAAGACAGTATTTAGAGAAAATAATAAAATAACTAACTTGATACATGGGTATGTGTGATGAAAACTGGCTGAAAATAACAAAAACACTTTGATTTAAATTGAAAGTAGCTTAACTTTGATAAGTTAGACAATGCAAATAGTACTCTGTTGCAGGTGTCAGTTTACTGTGTATGCCCCTTTATCTACAATACATGATGCTAACTTGGGTACTGGAAGCAGTTGCAGTTGTGTAAGCACAGAGGCCTGCTCAGACTAATTTGCCTTGTTCAGGTAATACAGTTGTACTGCTTTTGAGATCTGAGCTATTTTGTTTAAAGCTAGCTTAATATAAACATATCTAACTGCCCTAGGCAATTTAGACATACTTTGTTTGTGTGTGAAGGTCCTTCCCCTACATGTTTTAGTTGTTACTTCTGTATGCTTGTTTTCAATTTGGCTTCAAAGTTCAGCCTGTTTTCAGCTGATTGCCTAATCATAAAGTTATTCTTGAACAGTAAGACTGTAATCTGAATGGACTCTTCTGATCAGTGCTGGGGCATGGAGGGCAAATGGTCAGAGGTGGGTTGTTCTTCCTATGTAGTACGCAAGAAGTTAAGATGAACTGTGGAGAGCAGAACGGATCTTATCCTCATTTACACTGGAACAATCCCATTAATTTCAGTGTGGTTGCATGGGTGAAGTTAGAGAAAAATTCAATCCAGTTTACTCTGTAGTGCTTCTCACTATTGTTCTAAAAAGGAACAAAATACACTTCCCCCATTACCTTTGGCTTGATGCCCTAAAGCTTGTAGGAGGGTCAGGTCCTCACCATTTTTCCAAACAGCTGAAGGGCTGAGCAGCCATAATTGTGAGAGTGTTAAATGGACCACATTATTAGTGTCTGAAAGTGTTACAGACCCTTATTGTGTCTCATTCTAATTTGGATGCTTAGAACAGCCAGAATTTTAACATAACCATCTGATGCTGATTCCACTGAAGTCAACAGTCATTTGACTATCAATTTCAGTGGAAGAAAAATTGGTCACCCCAGGGGAAAACCAGGAGCAATGGTCATAAACTCCTAGAAGATTTCAGGCTGGATATAAGGAAAAACTTCTTCAAATTTTGTGTGACCAGACCCTGGAATAGACTCGCAGTGAAGGTGGTGCAGGCACCTACCCTGGAGATCTTCAAAAGGAGACTAGACGCACACCGTGCTGGGGTTATTTGACCCCAACAGTCTTTCCTGTCCAGAGCAGGGGGGATGGACCCAATGGCCTCACAAGGTCCCTTCCAGCCCTAAACTTATGTGAATCTGTGATCAAACATGCCACAGTACATAGACAGTTTTTTAAGCTAAACAGCTGAAAATAGGTTACATGCAAAGATTATATTAACTCTATTTAAACAACAATCATCATCAATGGTTATATAACATGAGATACTAAATTAAACAACACTGCATGATTCAGTTACTAAATTAAACAGTCCACATAAGGTATGCAACCAGTGTACTTACAGGTGAATTAAAGATTTCAGTCCTCGGAAAGTATTTCTTGAAATTGACTTAATGCTGTTGTTCTCTATAAATCTGTAATGGGTAATAAATTTATTTGGGTCAAAGCAACACTTGTAACTTGAAAACCTACCCACCCTACTCAGTAATTCTAGGAAAAAACGTTGTCCACTTACAAATATTCTAGATGAGGAAGGCCCATGAAAGCATCATCACTGATAACATCAAAAGAGTTTGATGTAAACAACCTGCATGAAAAGACACAACATTTAAAAACTGTCTGATTATTATATTCTTTTGAACGCGGTTCAGCAGTTCCAGGTTGGCCAGATTCGCACCAAGTGCCTGAAGGAATTGTTTGTATAAAGACTGGGGTACCATAGGGTTGAACTGAACTCTTTGACCACATCCAGACAGGCACCACATACTGCACATTCAGCTGTTCTCCTTGCTGCAAGGATATCCAGGGGTCAAAAAAACCTGTGCAAAAAAAAGTGGAGCAGTGTATACAGGGACAGCACAAACTGCTCAAAACCGGAGCCTGGCCAGCCAGAGCGACTCTCTGGCTGCCGACCAGGCTCCAAGTGGCAGGATTGCTGCTGCTGCAGCCCCAGGAGCCCTCCCAGGACACTAGATAAGGCCATGAATGCCGTGCGGCCCTGGAGGCTGGTGGGGCATGGCAAGCTCCCTCAGGCAGCAATGGCACATGGTGGAGGCAAGTGGGGAGCTGCTGCAGGCAGTCGCAATGCTGTCGGGGGTGTGGGGGGTGTGGCGAGTGCTGCCCACAGACACCGCTGGCAGTGTCAGTGACAGCCAGTGGCGGTCGCAAACCACCCACAGATGCCACTGGTGGTGTAGGCAGCGAGCACAAGCTAATTGTTAAAACAATGGGACTCCACAAGTATCACTGAAAACATTTCCTGTAGACTGCAGTATAAATGCATCTCTAGGGCACTGTGTTGTCCTTTAATTCTGCTGGTAATGAGGGACCAGAACCTGCTTGGCAGTCGCATTCCAGGTTGAATTGTACCCTGGCACACAGTTAAAGTTTTCCAGAAAAAAAAAGTACAATATTTTTTTCAGACCTATTTAAAATGAATGCAATTAATTTGCATTTGGTCATTTTAGATTGTTCAAAGTTAATCACATCTCTCATACTAGGTATTTTCCAAACAAGATGAGTTCTACTTTTCCAAATGGAACTGGAGCTGCAAAGTACACTGCAGTCAGTTGGATTCGTGAAATGGTTCATGAACTTATATGCCAATATCCTCAGGCATTCAAGGATTTGAAATTTTAAAGCTTAAATTAATACACTTAATGAGTTAGTTTCTTCCTTTTCTTTTCAAGAGCCTGTATTCCTAATCTCTAGTTCAATTATTTCTTGCTGTACTATAGTAGGTTATGTTTCTTCTACATAAGAGTTTGATATGTATCTACAGAAGTGGTAATTAGAAAATTTCCTCATTGTTTTAATTATTATTGATAGTAAATAATATTTGTTTCAAACTCGAGGCCAAATCCTGCCAGAAGAACCACACGGTATATCTGCATCAGTAGCCTGGGTGCAATTTATTTTTCTGTTAACAGACTTCTCAGGATAATTATCATCTTATTACAATCTACCCTCCTGGTAGCATAAAGGAATAGGATAGTATCTCTTTAAGTAGTTTGTGGGCCTTCTGCTGGCAGTCATCCTGTTATATGTTTTAAAATTGTCAGAAGCCGGCCAAAGTAGTAATGGGGATATTTTGCTAAGATCCATTATTTGGACTTCACTGCTCCTATGTTTTTTTCTTCATAATATTCTGGTTATGTAAAGAGCATAAAACACAAGTCTCCTAAAATTAGAGTCTCTCCATGTCTAGTCCCTCCATATTACTGTTCTTAGAGTTGAGAAATGGGAGCTTAGCATAGCACTTAGGAGAATGGGACCTAGATTCTGATCCGTGCTGCTATGTGCAACTCAAATAATGATAAATGATTACAATACAGACTGATGTGCGTCACATCCAGAAATCACATGACATTTAGAAGAGATCAAGTTACAGTTGGACCTTGGATGTATAATTTCATGATCTCTTGTTTAACCAGTAGCAATATGTACTACTCTTTACATACCTGGTAAACTGAAACCACCAGTGTAGAGGTCACATACAAACCCATAACTAGTTTAAAATTAGTTTATGTTTTTAGTTATTTTTATCTTGTTTGTTCTTGTTTTCTGTCCTACCTCTTCAACCAGTGGCAGATTCTTTTAAAGTATAGGGCCTACATCGTGGAAGTTTGCTTGGGTGTTCCTTGTTATGTAAGAAGGGACTGCTCTCACTTGCCCTAGACCAAAAGTCTGACTTTTCCAAACGTGGCAAGTAGGTCAGCTCCCAGGGAGACTACATAGAGAAATATATCTGGATAGCTATTCAGCACTATTTTTAAAAATGCTAGGTTTCTCACATAAGATATTTGTGGTTGGTTTGTACCACTTGTTTTAGCACATCACCTGTCAAAGCCCAGGCTGGAACAAAAACTGTTTTTCTAAGTTTGGCAAGTCTAGTGCGGCAGCTTATTAGCAGCAGCACAAGGAATATATGTGGCAGGTAAGTGAAAGGCATAAACGAAAGGAAACCCAGTCATGCTAGATAAATATTGAATGAAATCCTGCTCATCCTTCAGCTAACCTGTTCTGTCTGTCTTACATGAGTAGTAGGACTGTTAAATGTAGATGGCATGTCATAGCCAAGACAGAGGCTTGTGGTGTCCTTTTTTCCTTTACTAATATACAAGCTCCACAATATAAATGCTACTACTTTTATTTGTCTTCCTGGTGGAAGGCCCAGCACAGGAGTTATGTGAGATTTATCTTTTTGTGATGTTACCACCTGGGAAAATTTTGTCAAACATAATGCACAATGGAACAGCATTTAGGTTTCCATAGTAACTACATTTACCTATTAATCCTGTATCTGAAATTGTACATATGCCTGCACCTCCTTATCAGCTCCACTTGAGGTAGCAGAGTACAGTTAGGGTCATGCCTTCAACTATCAGTGCACCAACAGTTTAAATGTAACAGCCTTAAGGCTCCAATACATCAAGATTACACTTCAGACCAGATCCACTGTATATGCTAACTCAGCCACAGACAGGTGTCTGATTTCATTTTTGGTTTCTGAAAAGTCTTTTTTGTCAAGTTTCTGAAACAAATTTGGATACGTTTCAAACAGCTACCAAGCAAAGTATGAACAGTTCAGATTTCTCTCTCCAGTATCTTTGTATAGCAAGTCATTATATAATCACTTAATCACTTTCACAGTTTTCTAGGTAGCTAATTCTGCTATGGACCTGTAATATTTTACACAACAATGAACCTACATCTCAAAAAAAAAAAAGTCAGTGCATACATTGTCACCAGATTTGATTTTGGAATGACTGCTCAAGAATTTCTGATTATTAAAAAACTTGTTACCTTAAATGTAGATTAAGAGAACAAGGAATAATAAATGATGTGCCAAATCCAACCCCCAGCTAAACAAACTCCCATTGAAGGGTCTACATTTCCATTAATGTCAATTGCAGTTTTGCCTGAGTAAAGACTTCAGGATATCTCTTACTGAAATTAGGGATCTGATCCTGACAGGTCCCGAGTACATAAGCAATAAGAGTTACAAGTGTGTAGCACGCTTTGGGATCAGGCCCTAAGACTGCAGAAACAACACAGGTATAGTTGTTGCAACACTGAGATGCCTTTTCTAACATCCATTAAAGTATGATACATAAAAGGATAACAGATGCACTGTCACAGAGAACAGTCCTCAGAATTTAATCTATACAAAGTAGCATCGACAGCAAAATTAAAACCTAAGCCATGAAGTAACTACAAACAGTTAAAAACCAACATTAATCATGCTCTATCTGTCAAAAACTACCTTCAGATACTAATAGTGATATAATGAAACCACACTTGCTATTTCTTATAAAATAAACAGTGGGACCCCGAGTATAGGGCTTGCGGATACACGTTTCGTAACAAATAATCGTATCATATAAATATTTCTCACAGAAGATGCAGAGACGGTGCGAACAAAAAACTCCCTTCTGGGATTTTAGTAAAAGCAGATCTCACAAAGGATCTGGAAAGAAAGGAGAAAAAACACAAGCTTATGTTAATGCAATCTGATATAATCATCATTTAACACTGGGCTGTGCATCACACTATAATGTCTTTACATAATTACTATTAACTACTAAAACAAATCAAGCTGTCATAGGTTTCACATAATGCAGAAAAACATGTAAAAAGGCATAGAGAGCTAAAAAAAGACAAGTAAAAACAGGATTCAGAGATGCAACACAATTTAACATTTTATCTGATGTTTCCGAATGCTGGAGGGATTCCCTACTGCAAGCATCCTTCAGCATGTACCGAAAACGTCAAACATACCAGTTCATTTTAAATCATAAATGGAAAAACCAAATGCTTACAGCCCTTACACTGAGATAACATCAGGCGGAACGCTGCGTGGAATAGATCTGGCATTTTCACATACAGCATTATCTTTGGTACAAGTACACAAGGTAGGACATTTTGGCTTCACTTGTTTCTTCCCTTCAGTCAGCAAAAGCACAGATAAAAGGCATAGGAAATAAGCAATTCTTCCAAAGGGTCTGCTGGCATTTCCCATTCTTTTGATCCACTCTCGTTCCAGCCAGTTGAAAGAATATCCCAAAACATGAACAGGGTTTCTTTATTCAGCCGTTGGATGTCTTTTTTTATAAGGCCAAGTCAATATTTGTCTCTCCTTCTCCAACCCTTTTTTTTTTCTTTCACTCTGTTTCTGTAGATAGAAACCTGCAGCTGATCTGTGTGTTTCTACTCACTCAGGCAATGTACTGCTCAGAGAAGGGACCTGCGAGGTGCTGTAAGATGGGGAAAATCCAACCGGCTGTAGGGAAAAAAAAAAAAAAAAAAAAGACTTGCATCACCACAAAAACACCGAGCACAACACAGCATTAGATTGCGAAGTGATGTAACTGAGAAAATACACTGCTTTCTGTTTTCCGAGGGAGGCCCTTTCCTTGTTACCAAAAATAGTACAGCATTATGTTTTGCTGGTGGGTGGGTGAGTGGGTGTGGGGTGGAGTGTTCATGTGTGTACGGGGAGAAATCAGTCATCTTGTACTGGATCTCTACAACCTCATAAACCTTTGGGAATTGTGCTTTACACATTGCAATTGACAAGAGAAGTAACAAGCCAATATCAGAAAATGAAATCAAGTGAAATCATCAAAATAATTACTAGAAAAACTGTTAATTTCTAGCCACAGCCTTTATTGCACATGTTTGTACCACTGAAAAACAAGCAGGCACATATGGAAAGCATTACTGTGTATAAGAGACTGCTCACAACTGTCATTTCTAAACAAAATAGTCAATCATACAAAATAGCCTCCAGACTGCATTTCTAAAGAACATCCTTACCTGTTTGTGAGCTTGATGAATAAGGTGCATTAGCCACTGTTTAAGAAAATAATATATCCAGTACTGCTCAATTCAAAATGTATTTGGGTAATGCCTGATTTGATCATATTTAGAAGAGGAAAAGATCGTTTACAACACTGAGATTATCATAATTATAAATAGGAAAGCACCATATTTCAGTATAAGCAAGACTGAGACCTATCTTTATTATTATTATTAATAATGTTACAGTGGCATCTGGAGTCTCCTGTTGAAATTTTAGTGCTCAGTACATATGTAACACATGCACAAACATATGGTAAGAAATGGTCTCTGCCCCAAAGAGCTTACACTAGAGAATCTTAAAATAAATGAGCTAAGTTATAAAGAATAGTAAAATAAAAATAATTGTCAGACATTTAGAAGGACCTATTTGATGGCACTGACATAGCACTCCTATATGAGGATCCCAAAGGGTTTTGGAAACAGGATACATTTACTTCCTCCCTGTCCCCCATGTATGTGAAGTAGATACAATTATCTTCATTTTGCACATAGGAAAATGCAGCAGAGTTAACATAATGGCTGAAAAAGCAAAACTGGAGCAGTTAATACAACTGTATTTCTCTAGTCACCAGGATTAGTTCATAGCTAATCTAGATAACTAAGGTTGAAAGAACACTTAGGTTTTTTAAGTTCCTTCATGTAATCTTACCTACTTTTAGTGTGTAATACTAATAGATTTTAAAACCAGAAGGGACCAGGGGGAGGGGGTTAACCTTATGTTTCATTAACACATCTTCCAGAATGGTAGCCAGCTTTTATATAAACATTTTTAAGAGATGGAGAATCCACCACTTCGCTTGGTAGTATTTTACAATAGTTAGACATGCTTTTAATATTTATTCTTTAGTTCCAATGTAAATTTATCTGTCTTTAAATTTTCCAGCTACTATTCTTTCTTATGCCATTCTCTGCTATAGCAAAGAGCCTTTAGCATCCAGTGTTCTCTGTACTGCATAACAATGTCTGATCCAATCTGTGTATAAAGCTATTGTTGGCTATTCCAAACCCAGGAGAAAAAGCAAAGTTCTGATGACTACCTTTCATTAATGCATTTTATAGAATGGATATACAGCATACAGTGGATTTTATAAAGCTAATTGAATTACAAAGTGATAACCAGGGGCATCTATAGAAAGGAAAGGCGCATGTCTGTCTTACATGGCTGAATCTGCTCTCCCTTTGTGTGTCTCTCAGTATGAGCAACTATAGCAGTGATCCCATGATCCTTTCCAATGACTCTTACATTTAAGCAATATAAGACTGAAATAAGCAACCTAGATCAAGGGTCAGCAACCTACAGCACAGAGACTAGATCTGTACCACAAAGAGATTGGATCCAGGCCTGGAAGGAAGGTCTGCCCTAGCTTGACGTGGCATGGAGATCAGGCAGCATGCAGCTGTGCTGAGCTCCCCATCCTCTCCACAGTCCTCCTATGTGCTCTCTTGTGCCTATGCTAACCCTGGCTGCAGAGTGGGTGCCTGCAGCAAAGATAAATATAGGTGTCTTGAACTCTCTGGGAGGTGAATATCTGTGGAACATGTTGCAAGCTCTGGCCCAAAAGGCTGCCAATTTCTGATCTATCTACTTAAATGGTTGGTGCTCTTTCAATCCTATCATTCATAAAAAACAAGAGAGGGAGAGTCTGTTCTTGATGATGGAGTCCTCAAACTAGCAGTCTGTTTAGAAGATTCTACTTAAGACTTACAAACATCTTATCCTATTTTGGGGTCAAGTTTCTATATACTTGCCTCACAAGATGGTTGAGAATTCTCAACATGGCAGATGGTTATGAATGTGCTCCTTGACAACTGGAGTTGCTAAATTTTGATAGTTATGTTTTTCTTTTATACAACTGATGCATGCCAAGGACAGGCTCAAGTGTTTACTTTTACAATAAACCTTCAGTGTCAACAGTTGTTTTTGAAGTGGGGTTCAATTCAGTGTGTAGCAACCCAAAGCTACTTTCATTCTGAAAAAAAGACTACCATCAATACAAACTGGCAGGATTACTCTAGAACACAGTCCTGAATTGTTATAAGTCAAATGCTGTTGTATCAGGGATAGGGGCTCCTGCTTGCAAAGTTTGTGTGGTTGAGATGGAGGCAAGAATTGTGGAACTTACTAAGGTAGTTTACACACCCTGTGCTCTGTGAGAGTCAAACCTGCTCAATGAGAGTCACCACACAAAAGCATTTATGGGGGTGAGTAGGCAAGCCAAAAAGATTCACCATTACTTTTGTCATTCTTCAAGTGTTATGCAAGAGAAAAGCTATCCATTCCAAATATTTTGCCCTTAACAATGAAGCTGTATGTTCCATTTTTTGAACTCCTGCACTGAACTCAACCATTGAATAGCCTAGCTTTTTTTTTTTTTTTTTGAGTCTATATTCTAGCCACATTGGTAACATCATTAAAACATGCTGATGTTGCAGATTTTTCAGGAAGCATTTCTTTTAGTTTTAGACATATTGCAGCAGAGCAGTAATATGACCAATTTTTACACACGGTGGGCTTCTTGAACATTGGCTTCTCATTTAAAATGATGTACCAAAACAACTTTTCTTCACCAGTTATATAAATGATAGATATTTGTTAGTTCTGTCAAAAGAGGGGGATAAAAATTCCATTCCCCAGACCTCACTTCCACCAAGCTATCTGATTTCTTACCATAACATTCTTTAAAAACAAAGTGGCTTGTGGATTTTCAGTGGTATACTCACGCTTCGGTGATTGTCGTATTTGGCTTATCCTTTACCACTGCAATCATTGTTAGCTTTCTGGCTCAACAGAACATGCAATTGCCTGCTGTGTATCCATCAGAGCACCTGATCTCCTTCTAGGTCCTTAATACCTTGTTTTTCTTTATGATTCAGGTTCTGATCGGACAACAAAGTCCTAATTTGTTTCCTTGTTTTCCATGAGGTTTGTAAGAATAAATTGAAGAGTTATGAAATGTTTTATCAGAGATCTCTCAGATCATGTAGGCATTGTTTTCAGTACTTTGAAAAATCTTCACCTTGCTGTGCAATGGCAGTACAGGCTGGCAGACATGTTTCAGAATGGGCAGGGATAAGCTTGCACTATGCTGCTGGCTCCTATTGCCTCTAATTTGTTTTCAGTGTGATATTTATAAATGAAAGCAGCTGATCAAATGCAGAACTATACCAGTGGGCAAGTAATATGCTGCTTGTTTTTCTAGAAAATGTTTCTTAAAACTGACGGAGCTTCCTAAGCAGTCAGTGATTGCGAGATCTGAATGTCACTGTATTCCGTTTGTGTTCTGCTCCACTCCCACTACTGCTAGGTGGCTACTGTAGCCTGGCAACACGGAGAATTGCAGTAATCTATGTTCTGCACAACCACTTAAGGCTTAACTGCTAACTCCTGGTGGTAGTTTTTCCTTTAGCAATTGCTTTGCACCTGCCTTAACTTACACATTTGAATGAAGCATATAGTGGTTACTTTGGTACTCCCTGCTCTATTTTAGCTTCATGAAAGCAGCTAAAGCAGGACAGAGAAGCAATCCTAAAAAATAAAAAGGTGGAATGAGGCCAGCCTAGTCCTTAGAGACATGAACCAGCTTGTGACAGTGTTTTTTGCTTCTGTTTTCCTCTCTGCTTGTAAGAGAATCATTTTTTACTCGTACTCCATGCTTTTATCATTAAAGTTGTTTACTAGACTATTTGAAGAAACAAAATGCAAAAGGTCAGGAAGTATACCCAAAGTTATGATTTTACCAAATTTCATACATTTCTGAAGGATTAATTCTGCTCAACTGACTATATTTGTATTTTCACATTGGCACAATGTTTTTAAAAGTGACATACCACAAGGTTCTAATAAGCTTCCTGTGGTTTGATGGTGATCGCATTTCTCTTGGCAGAAATGAGAACTACTATAGTTGTTACTTATTTTATTCTGCATTTGGAAAATCTGGCAGTCTTCTGTGCTCAATTTGGGCACGTAAAACTTGATCCAAAGCTCACCATCAGTGTCAAGTTTCTGATTTATTTTAATGCTTTTAATCAGGCCCATCATGTTTTGCCAGGCAGATAGAAAACAGCAGTCACCACGTGTTTTACGTCACAAACTACCATAATACCCAGATTTAGAGGGGCTACTAAGCAGCAGCTTATCATGGTTGTGTTCCACTTGTACCCAGAATGCAAAAATTTAAGACTAAAGACTCCTATGAGTCTCTCCTGATTCTGGGTTTATGTTCTTTGTGTTGTCCTTTTAACAAATTCTACAGCAAATGCCAAATTCAAACCATCAGAAAGTCTGTTTTACCTCACCCTCAATAAACAAAGACAATTGCTTTGAATTTCAACCAGTTCTGAAAGGGTTGCTCTTCTGATGGCGCAATTATCAATATCCGCTCTGAGGAAAAAGCTGTTCTTCGTTTTGTAGGGTAAATA